AGGGCGATTCGATGCATTCTACTATAGAACGTGAGCTGAAAAACCAAGTTGTGTATAGTCCAGATCAAATGTACGAAATAATTACCAATTCCAAAGTAAATGGCGAGAAATATATTATTAAAGAAATGTTACAAAGTGACTTCTACGACATTAAAGAATTACTCGAGGACAAACACTGGGGTAAAGATGATAAAGGGAAGAAGATAAAGTGGTCTAAAATAATGGAAATCAATGTAACCAGTTCAGAACCATCCATCTTGCGGTTTAAATATGATTTTGACGCTGAGTATTCTAAGCTCAACATTGAACGCCAACAGAGATCCAAACGGAGTGCTAGACATGCTTCCAATACACCTAATATTAATAACAGTCCTGAATTAAAAATTGTATACACCGAGACTCTGCCAAAACGTAAAGCCTTACATTCTGATCTCATAAGTCTTTGTAAATCAAATGACATACCAAGCTACTATCATGGTTTCTATGAATCTCTTAAATTTATTGATGAGGCAGAAGCACCAACCGATAACTGTGCTGATGAAGACAATTTTTTTTAAATATTGAGTAACTAATAAGAAGACTTTTTTAAATTATAATATACTTTTGGATAGAAATTACTTAGATTTCGCTTATATTTTATTTGGAATATTAGGTTTCGTGATTTTGAATGTTTACTCGAAGATGCCACTTAATTATGAAGATTTGAGTATGGAGATAGATAGATTAATTATAGACTGATTTATTTGAGAGTGACTTTATGTTATGTTTGTTTGCTTATGTTTTGTTTTATTGAAAAGTATTATTTTTGTCATCCTCTTTGTTGGATTTAAATGTTGGTCCCAAAATAAATAACAGTTGATTATAATTAAGTAGTTTAATTTAAATACCCAGAAAAAACGTCTAATTTACTCATATCGTAAATTCATTATTTGAATAATAACAAGAATAAGATGATAATATTACATTACCGACATTGCTGGAGAGTTCGTATATCGTAGAATAACATGACAGGACTATATTACAATATTCGTATTAATGAAGTTTAAATGAGAAAAAAATGATAAGTGCATGTTAGCAACACATGTTATTGTTAAATTTAGTCTATTCTTTTATTTCCTAAATATCTCAAGTTCAGTGGAATCTTTCAAAATTTCAACTTAGTATAGAGATAACACTAAAAATTAGCTATCATTTAAGCTAACTCCCAAGTTCCTACCTAGGACCCAAATGAAGTAATCTTATTAAAACGGTTTTTTAATTTTCCTGTAAAGTTGTGATTTTGCATTTATCATTTTATTCTCCGGAGCCGGCGAAATGACGATTTCAGCGAGGGAAGAGCAACTTTTAATTTGACGTAAAGAATCTACATTTAAATGAGATGAGATGTCAAATGGTATGTATCAGAATACCAAATACCAACAATTTTGGAGCGTAAGTGTAGCAGTGCCAAATTTTAGTTCCAAATGTGAACAATCTCATTTGAGCGGCGCTTTTGTCGCGGTTATTGTTTATCAGAATACCAAATTGTAACATGACACCGAAACGAACGATTTGACAGCAAAAATCAGCGCTGAGAGTGTGTGAAGCGAGTTACAGAATCGCAGGGCAGTATAAAAGTACTATCATTTATGAGGTAGAATACAATATTTATTTATTGCGCTGTCGTACTAAAATATGACAATTTATATTACATTAAATACGCCGCGCAAGCTGTCTACTCTTCATCCGTCGTCATTTTGACCAAATCATTAATAATAAAGCCTTGGACGGTTCGAAAAATTAAACCTTGGTTAATAGACTTAAGGTCCAATTCCACATGCATCAATTTATCTGAGGAAAGAGAAAAATGTACTAAATCCGTAACTATATAGCACGAAGGATCATAATCCTTTAAAATAAATTGTGCGTGTACTAGGTGTACACACGTAAGAAGTGAAATTTCTTTATGATCTTATTTTTCGAAAAATGATCTACTATATGCAACTTTACAGAAATTCGTTAAATAAGATAAAGTTTAACAAAAGGCTTTTATTATCATATACATGAATACAAATATTTCATTTTACCTTATTACTACGAAGATTATTATAGAATTTCATTAGTTGTAATAGAATTATTACTATCATTGAAAAACGTGACGATTTGCTACAAAATTTCTCCCATACGTCGATAAAGAAGTTTCATTCCAACGCCGATAAAGAAGTTTGACTTCAAAAAGCAACATGGCGCGTAACCGAAAAATGTGACGCGTAACGAAAAAATGTTACACTACATTTTTTTCCAACCTCGATAAAGAAGTTTCACTTCAAAAACATCCGTCTTACAAATTTGTCCTGACGCGAGTTAAACATTTTTTACCCATTCCAAAAAAGTGTTCAACGCGTTAAAGAAGTTTTCACTTCAAAAAAAATATATATTTTTGGTCTTCATAATTTGTGCAAGTAGAGGAAGCTAAACTAAAATTGAAGGGGATAAAAAAAATAAACAAATAATATTGTGCCTACCAATATTATGATTTTTTGCGTTTATACCACAAATAATGTCTTGCGTTTATATAAAAATAACATATCATGCCAGTATAAATATACATTAAATTAAAAGTTTTACTTTCTTAGGTGTCCCTAAAGGTCGCCATTAATTACAAATTTTAGTTTTGACACCCCAAAAACCGACAAAACAGAAGGGACACGGGGAGCACGTGCGCACCTCGAGAGGAGAGGGTGGATGCCGGATGGGCAATTAATAACAAAATATATCGTTGTTGAGTGTCGAGTGTTGCCATTGTTCTCTGTACGATTCTCCTAATGTGAAAATATTTATAATTTAAATTTAGGGTTTACTTTTTAGCTCTGCAGTGATAAAAATTGATATTTTAATTTTATGTTTGGTGAGATAAATCAAAATCACGCATCAGACGATCACTTTTGCTTTGTTAATTACCTATGGTAGTTGTAGTTAATGCTATGATGTAGCTAAAACATATTATTAATATTTCGATACTTAATTTAAATTGAAAATAGCTGTTTTATATATTATAAAAAGAGATGAAAAAAATTCAATCATTCTACATACTATATTTTATAAATTTTGTATGTATATAATACATTGTAATCAATTTATAACCATAAAAGTTGTCATAGACGGTAGACCTCAGAAGAGAAAGTTGACAGCTGTGAGTTGTGACTTGGGCATTTTTCCTCAGGAAGAAGTCAACTGTCAAGTGTCAATAGAAAATGAACAAAATGGCTTAACTTTAAAGACGTGTTTTAACAAATTTACAAGTACTTAGTAGTGGAAACTATGCTGAATATAATATAATAACGTAATACAAAAAATGCTGGAAAGGTTACTGTTATTCGTAATATTGTGATAATTAATTGCGCCACGTAGATGTAAGATATTATATTATTGTCGTGTGGTAACAATGTATGATGGCTGACGCACAAACAAAAAAAAGAAGTCAATACTAATTATATTACATTAAAGAATTACACATACGCACTACAGAATATAGATTGATAATTGGTTAAAGACTAAATTTGTGGAAATTTGTATAAGTACGGGGTTCCGTTACAAAAATTTATCTGATGAAGTCGAGGTCCGACAGTTTTTTTTATACTACAATAAAATGCAATAAACATGCGTAAGGCGTTAACTTGCTTATAGCGTAAATTAATAAGGATTGCCGATTGTTGATAGATGTGTAAAGTTATGAAAATGTGTATTACAGTATAAGTTTGTGTGATGTATATGTATATAAATTTATTTTTTAGGTGAATTTATCGTCTATATCTTTTTAAGCTTATCATTCTGAAACCAATATTCCAAAAATAAGGAAACGAAAGCTGGATAACAATCTATGAATAACTGTAATAATATGGTCTCAGTTCCCATTTTAATAAGGTGAACAAAAATTTTTTGTTCAAAAAGAGTACACTTTGCAAGTATTTCATAGGTGAAAAAAAAGAAGAAGAAAACACAATAAACACCTTATTTTCTTTTAAAAAATTTTTTCTTCGGAGTGGATATTTTTTTCTAAATGAAGATGTTCGTCTAATAATGTAGCCACATCTGAATAACTTTCATTTTACATATTAAATTTGACTGAAGTCTGCAGATAATGTTTTTACTGAAAGTTGCTACTTCTCACTGCTCCAATAATCATTCCGTAGTAAAAATACCCTTTCAACAGCAGCATTCATGCTTGGACAACATAAGGAAATTTCTATTAAAACTAAATTATTCAAATGAGTACTTTCAGAGTACAAGATTTGAATTGAACTGATTGAAAAATTTGATTTGAACTCAAAACTCAGTGAATGAGTATAGTTGGTCACCTTAACTTTAACCTACTAGGTTTTATGTGTGGCACTGGCTCACAGTTTCAGGACTTGAAAGAAAAATGCAAGGTCTGGGGTTGATTATTTTAAAAACATTCTATTAGTTTATTGTGAATACATACTCTGTTGGTGCAACAACTTTAAGTAAATTTTTTCCCTTTGAAACAAGAGAATGCCATCTTCGATGATATTGGGTTACTGATTGCCAAGTGTCAGCTTGGAGCTTGCATAAGTCCCTCTTCAGCAATATCAGATACCCAAATATGCTTTCTTGACAGCTAAATTCTCCCATACTCACTTGGTGGCGAGTCCAGCAGAGTCTGTTTGCTTTGCTCATTGATTGCTACTCCCATAATGTTTTTATTAGGTTACCATCTGCTCAAGCTGATCATTTTGAACCCTAGAAGATAACCATGTATAATTTGTATATCATATGCTTATGAATGTGCCTTAAAAATATTCAATTAACTTAATGATAAATAAAAAAACACAAGACTACATATATTTTAATTATCAAAATCTTTCATAAACTAAACACAGCTCTTTTAACCCTAAAAAACTTAAACATGATGGAGTCTTTTCAGCCTTATCATTTAAGAAATAAACTTTTTAAACTTATTATAAACTGATTCACCTTAACTAATTTTTTTTATTGATGCACTAAGGACAGGCGCTTGACTTATGCTCTCCACAAATGGGATTTTTGCAGTTGTCGCACATTGACTTGTCATTCTTATTTTTGTGGGGCCAAAAGCACAACTTTCTTTTCTGAAATTTGAACCATGCTACTTTGTTGTATGATGAAAGCACATACACCATTTTGTTAGGCTTCGGTTTGAACAACACTAATGTCAATGGCCAATCATAACAAAACATGCATGTTCCTACAGGCCTAGAATGCGTGATTTTCAGGTTTTCAGGGAATTCCCGTTCATTAGATCTTATTTTACCTCTCAGTCAGGTTGTATGGGTGCTTTAGTAAATTTCTTGCTAAAGGAACTGGCGCGAACCAGTTATCGCAGGTTACATGTCTAATGCTTCCGTGGATTGACTTTGTTAGTTCCTTCACGTAAAATTCGCCAAGTGGCAATCTATTGGTCTGAAGTGCATTTACCCAAATATGGCATAGCATCAATCATGGAACGAGTGGCACTGTCTTTAGGATTTTCAAACCGTACTTATTGGGTTTGTTCGGGATGTACCTACAAACGGAAGGGGCACCGACACCGAAAACCTAGAAGTTCTTCAATGGTCACGTACGGTGCAGGGATGTAGTTTGACTAATTGGAATAAACGTATCAGTAGTTCTTCGTTCTGGCCGCAAACTTTTAGTATCCATCCACAAGCACCTTATCAGAAAATCAAATCTATCTCTACTCATAGCAGCAACATATCTGTTTCCTGAATACGAACAATCAAATAGCTCATCCGTGGTCAAATGATTGTCAATATGCCTAAAAGAGCTCTAATCTATCGCTGGATGTTGGTTTAAACGCTGATTTTGCATCAGGATTTTGTATTTTCAGCTGGATTTCAACATTAGTCCAATTAGTTATCTCTTCCACAATATCGACGGTTATAAATACTGAAACATTCGAAAGGTTCGTAAAGGCCTTTGTTCATTCGAGTAGGTACCCTAGATGTCCGTATAATATTACAAGATGAAACCCTGCCACTGGTTCATCCTTTGGTAGCTGTCCAACGATGATTGTTTTTGCCTCGTGAGGTATTGACGCAGAACAATTTAAAAATACCTCAATCATTTTCTTGATTGGCTGTGGAATTTCGTGGGATAAAAATCTCCGACATTCTTTCTTTAAGGCGATGGATATTAATATCACACTAGAAATTATTTAATTTTTTTCAGAACTCATTTCTTCCGTGAGGTCCTTAGAAAAATATAAGATCTGGTTTGATAGTGACATAATTTCTATATCATCATTATTTATGTTTGCTATCTCGGGGTATTCTAATCTAATTACAGACATAATACTTTTTGTATTGAACACTCGAGAAAACATCTAGAGTTGAGTTCCAGCGGGCTACCACGTCTTGCTTAAGCTTCAAATCTTTTTCCTCTAATTGTTTTTGAATAGTTTTAAGTCTTTCCGACGCAAGTGGACTTCGTCTCAAATGTTCTACTATGCTTTTAATTGTAATCTGCGTGGATTTAATTTATTTTAAAGCCAACTGTTCTATTATATTTAAAGTATGAGCAAAACATAGAATCTGCTTGCACTTAAGTAGTCTTACGGCTGCTTTTATATTATTAGCATTATCCGTTGTTACAGCTACAATCTGATTCGTGATATTCCAGTCCTTACAGATTCTCATTATTTCTGAAAATTGATAACATTCTAATACTTTTGATTCTAGTTCAGTTTTATTAGATCTATGAATTAATTTTTCTAAACCATCGTAAAAATATTTTTTATCTTTTTCCTCAAAATGAGCCATAATTGCCTCCTTTACCTCATTGTCGTCGGAAAATTTCCTTCCCCTTAAGTCTTTTTTTAAATTGGGGAACAAATAAAAATCACTTGGGGCCAGATCTGGACTATAGGGTGGGTGGACTAGTGATTCGAAGCCATGCGTGTGTAGAGCAGCCATTGCAACTTTGCTCTTGTGAACCGGCGCGTTGTCTTGCAAGAGCAACACACCCTTGGTCAATTTTCCCCGACGTTTTTCTTTGATGGCATCCTTTAATTTTTCTAGTATTGTTGCGTAGTATTCTCCGGTTATGGTCCTGCCCTTTTCTTTATAATCAATCAGTATTATCCCCTCACAATCCCAAAAAACAGTAGCCATCAACTTTCCAGCCGACTCCGACACTTTGAATTTCTTTGGCGGTGGTGTCCCCTTTTTATGCCATTGCATGGACTCTTGTTTGGACTCAGGCTCGAAGTGATGAACCCATGTTTCATCGCCGGTAACAATTCGCTCCAAAATCGATCCAGGATCGTCGCTACACAACTCCAATAAATGTTTTGACGCTTCGACGCGCTGCTGTTTTTGAAGCGGCGTGAGCATTCTCGGTACCCATCTTGCACTGACTTTTGTCATACCCAGGTGGTCATGTAGGATTCGCAAAATTGTGGTATCTGATACTCCAACTAATGCAGATAACTGTTTTTTCTTCAAACGGGTGTCCTCCAGTACAATTTTTTCCACTTTTTCGACGATGTCTGATGTGGTGGCCTCAACTGGCCTTCCTGAGCGGGGGTCGTCTTCAATCGACTCCCGACCATGTTTAAAAAGACCATGCCATTTGTAAATCATTGATTTACTCCCGTAAACAGTTTCCATTTCATTCAAAATGGTCTGAGCGTTCTTTCCTTGCTTGGTAAGGAATTTAATGACAGCACGGTGTTCAATTTTCTCCATAGTTTCAGTTTTCTTCCGGATTGACGTGTTTAGCAGGCGAGTGTTCGTAAACGATTGACGCAATAGGGCTGAAACTCCATTTATATACTAATTATGAGTCCCCAATTAGTATGACACTAAGCGAGCGCCCCTATCCCCACTCCATCCCCTCCATTCCACGAACTTTTGGACCTCCCCTCGTATGTAGTGTTAATTTAAGGCAATTGACTGTTAGATGGCTGGAGCCGAATTCGAGGAATGAAAACTCTGGTTTCCACATGGCTATCACAAATAATTTCGGCATCAATGACATGTGAAGCTAACGCTCTAACAATAAGACGGGTTCCGTTGCACAACCCAACAGTCGGGTTCAAATTTCTCAAAAGCATTACTATACAACCAACTTTTAATTTTAGAATGTGTGGTGGTAATCCTGCAGGCGTTATAGAATTTAGAAATTCTACAGGATAGTTTAAACATCATTATGATCGTCATCAACCACAGCGTCAGAACTTTCATAAATTTTAAGCAGGCCGGGAATTTTCTCGACAACTTGGTCGTTCAATTGAAAGCAATCATCGTTTTTGGGAGTAAGGATAGATTTCATTGAATAACTTTTATAATCATTTGTGTTTAGGGAAACACCAAAAATATGGTCTACTATTGAATTATCTACAATGCATCGCTGAGCCAGTTCAATGTGGTCATTACTATCTTCATTAGCTGATCCATCGCCTACCTTAAATACCCATTGAGCAAACTCTAAATTATCGTGAGCTCTCATATTATGCCAACTGGAGTTGAGTAAAGTTTTGAAGCTTTTATGCCTTATTGTAAAACTTATTTGCCTCTAAATATTGTTGAAAGTAACGTATTCCGTGACCCATTAACTACAACTGGTAAAATCTGACGAAAATCTCCTGCGAATAACAAAGTTTTGCCTCCAAAAGGTAATTTATTTTTCATTATATCTTGAAAGAGTCGATCAACTACAACAATATCATGACATTTAGTCATGGGTGCTTCATCCCAAATGATTAAATGAGTTTCCTTCAATAACTTAGCTGCTGGTGACCCTAACGACATATGAGATGTAGAATCTACATCTGAATTAATTGGAATTTTAAATCGCGAGTGAGCTGTTCTACCACCATCTAACAGAGTTGCTGCAATACCAGAAAACGCTATGGGTAGGCATAATTTGTTTTCAGATCTTAAAATATGTAAAATAGTTGTAAATACAAAAGTCTTACCAGTTCCTCCTGGGCCGTCAAGGTACAACAGCTTTCTCTCTGTGGGATTATTCACAGCGTTTAGTATTGTATCGACCACATATATTTGTTCGGTGTTCAATTTTTGGTATTTTCATAGCCATTTGCTTTTTCAAGATCACAGTCATAAACGGGATCAGATAAGAAAATATTATTTTCATCAATATCTGGCTCCGGAAGTCCGAAATCTGTTAGTCTCTTTCCGTGGAGTTTTAATGTTTCATCAATTTCTTGTAAGGCCAACTATTTGGATAATATTTCAGGGCGTGATCTTGTAAAGTCTTCGATAAAATCTGATGCAAACTTTTCCCAAAGAGCATTAGGATCAGTTACTTCACAAAATACGCAAATTAACGCAAACAGCTGTCTTAATTGCCGAGGAAGTTTAAAACCGATTGCTTCATCCAAACATCTTTCCCATTTTCGGTACCATCTCTAGTTTCTTCGCAAAATGTCTTTGGGTAGTTTTTAGAACATTTAGAGGCAGTTCCATCATTTTTCATGCAAGGTGAATTCATATATCCAGGACCACATGGCCCATGGATCATATTTTTTTGATACAGTCTGAAAAAGTTTCTGGTCTTTATCTGGGTCAGGTATTTCTGCACACACAAATGTAACATAATCCACTGATGACCTTGGTTTATCTTCATTTCTTAGAATAATAAGCATATGCGCATGTGGAAGCCCACGTTTCTGAAATTCAATGGTGTAAAACCACGCACACCGAGTGCGTGGTTTTACACCATTGAAATTGTGACACCACCATTGATTCCAAAAATATGTTTCCTTGTAATGTCATCTAAAAGTTCCTCCAATTTAAGTTTAAAAATTCTGGCAATTAAATCGGGTCTATGTTCTTTTTTAAGTGCCTTGTAAATTATCTAAGATTTCCTACCAATTCGGATTGCACGTAAATGTTATAAATAAAGGCCTGTTCAGACCTAAGCGGTATTCGCTACCGTCTGCGGCAGAGAAAACCCAGTGGGTATGCGGTAATATTACTGTTCAGACCTAAGCGGTATTTGCTACCGTCTGCGGCAGAGAAAACCCAGTGAGTATGCGGTAATATTACTGTTTACACGAAAACGGATTTCGCTATCCTTGTGGGTAGAATAACGCGCGGTAGTCGAGTTTCGCTCAGAGAGGTAAGAAATTTGCGCCAGTTAGTCATTTCTGAGTCGCCAAAGAATATACACGTCAGTCACGTTGTAATTTCTGCAGAGCATCTGATTTTAGTGATGGATAGTGATGAAGAGGAAGTTTTACTTTTATTAGCCTTAATTGACTCACCAGTTAAGAAAAGAATTTGGATCCATGACATCAATAGACAACACCGAATTCATGGGGAATTCCACACTTTATATCCAAGATTAAGATTGGATGAAGATCGGTTTTTTAATGCATTCAGAATGACGACTGAGAACTTTGATGAAATATTAAATATGATAAAGGAAAATATCAGCAAATCATTCACTAAATATCGAGAACCCATATGCCCTGAAGAACGCTTAGCAATAACGTTGAGATAAGGAAAACAAATTTGAATATTAATTGACGAAAATCTTTATTTTAGATAACTAGGAAGGAACTTTGATTTTTTACAATATTAACACAACTTTTATCTTAACCTAAAACCTTCTTTGATTTGATTTCTGAGTGTTTCTGTTGATCGTAATCTATTTCGTGTTCGTAATCGAGACCTTCTCCAGTCAGTGAAGGTGCTAGAGGTGATAGAGCATTATCTTGAATACAACGCAGAGCAGACTGCAGTTCAGAATCATTAGTAGACTGACTACGAGAATAACATGATTGTTGAGACATACAACGATCATTTTGGCTTGTGTTAGGCTCAGTGGTGTAGTAAGATCGCAGTGTTGTTTCTCGTTGTAGACTACGTTCTTGCTCTTCTTCCAATTCCGCTTCCATCATAACTTGAGCTATTTTCATTTTTGTTATAATTTTACGTCGCTCAGAAAACCTGTCTATTGTTTTTGCATATCCAAGCATAACATGTTCAATCGACGATAATTTATCTGCTTTTGTATTCAAGTACGTAATCACTTTATCAACAGGATGTTCGTTAACAGAAGTCCTTTTTCTGGAACCCGAACGTGAAGTATAACGTTCGGATGATGCTACTGAACTTGACCGTTGTGTTGAATTTTCATTATAAGATTCGGGTTCAGTAATATTTTGGGTATCAGATACGCTTTCTTCTTCTCTTGCCACATTAGTATCAGTTGGAGCAAATCCTATGTGATCTTTTAACACGTTGAACGCCATGGGGGTCACCGGTGACCTCATCATTCCTCTATCACAGCGCCATGGGGGTCACCGGTGACCTCAAGATAAAGACATATTCAAACCGCTTTTTCTCGCCGTCTGCCATACCCACTGTTGATTTGAAAGTACTATATGACCGGCACGGCGCCGTAGAACAATACTTCGCATTGGGACGAATGTACCTTCATAGTGTATTGAAAAAATCTAAAAATTGTAAAAGAATAGCAAAATAAAATTTCGTTCCACAAATTTTGAATATTGAACTCAATTCAGTCTTTATTTTTAAAACGAAAATTATCGGAAAGTATGTTATGTTGTGTTGTGTACCAAAACTTACTATAAAATAAAAAATAGTCTTGAGAAAAAGTAGGAAATTGCGCAGTGTAAAAAAGTTCGGAAAATCAAAAAGTGCATTCCTTATAACAACCCAACCGTTAGAATTTATTTAGCCATAATTTTGACAAAACATGCAATAAGAGATAAAATGTCATCAAAAAAAAACAATAATAAAACATGCAGACAAGGTTCACACGTCCATACAACATCAAAATAAGCCCAAACAAAATAAAATAAACTTTTGTAACCACCACACACATTTTATAGCTATAAAAGCTCAGCGGATTATTGAAAGCGGTGAATTTTGTTAAAACACATTAGACAATAATGAGGCTCCCCATCACATTGCATACAGTATGTACTCACTTTCTTGCATTTATTTTTGGCGATTATACGGCCAAATTCCTCTACCGAATCTTTGTAACATTTCACACAAAAACGTCGCGTATCCCTTACTTTCCCTTCCTTTCTTTTTAATTCGTGCTTCAGTCTTTTTGGTCTTTGATTGAGATTTCTCTCCTGAGAATCTGCTGGTCGGATCAAATATTCTATGAGAGCCCTCCTGAAATCCACAATCGAAATATTGCTCTTCTTATTTTCTGTGTACATGACCCATGCATTAACAACTGCCGTATTTAAAAGCAGTTCTACTGCTAACTTTTTATACCATTTTACGGTTTTTCGCAATGGCGAAGAATAGGCACCCATTTGGTCACTCATGTCTACAGACCCTTTGGATTTGTTATAATCTAATATGACCCTTGGCTTTCGAATCTGTTTGCCTTTTTTTACTGCCACTGCAAATTTGTCGGAATGCTTTGTCGAAAGCATAAATACGTCCCTCTTATCCTTCCATTTAAGCACCGTTATTCCGTCTTCATTCTCCATAGCCATTGTTTCACCTTTCTGCAGTTTTGAATCTATAACGGCCTTTGGCAATCCTCTTCTGTTTTTTCGCAATGTGCCAATTAAATGGGTTTGCTTCTCCAATAACTGATACGCTAGTTCTAAACTAGTATACCAGTTGTCGGTTGCAAGTGTGTGGCCTTTCTCAAATATATACTCACTGAGCGCCATCACCACATTTGTTGGCGTAGTATTTATTGTATCGATGTTCTTCCCACTATATAAATGCAGTTTGCAAGTATATCCGGGAATAGTACATAGCTTAAATAGCTTCATGCCATATTTGTGTCTCTTACTTTTATTGTACTGCCTGAATATAATTCGACCTCTGTAAGGCACTTGGCTTTCATCAACACAAATATCTTCTTTCGGCGCATAATATTTCTGGAAAGTAGCATTGAGAGCATCGATTATCGGTCTTATTTTTGAAATACGATCGTTTCTGTCAGCAGTTAAATTGTCGCTAAAATGAAGGTACTGCAGCAGTAACTCAAAGCGGTTCCTACTCATCACGGTGGATGGAAAATTTTGTCCTAGTATCTTGTCTTTACTCCAATAATAAGCTAATTTTGGCAGCTTTACTATGCCCATATACAATATGAGCCCAAGAAACTTTTTTATTTCGGTCATGTTTGTTGGCTTCCATGAATGTGACCTGGATCCAGGCTTTGTTTGTTTGGCTGTGATGTTTTGACTTGCAAACAAATTTGTCTGCTCAGCAATCATTTTAAAAATTTCTTCAGGCACTAAAAGGCCATAATACTTGTCTGGGTCAGCTTCTTTCAACAAACTAGAATATGGGAGCTTCATGCCTTCAAACTCGGTGAAAGGAATCACTGATGGCTGTCGTCTTTTTGGTCTCGACCATTTTAAAGAAATGCGGTCATTTTGCGAAATATTGGAGGCAACAAAATCTTTAACCGACTCGCTGTCGCTATCAGTATCACTTGCAATAACCAGATGCCTTTTCCTTTTCGGTATTTGCATCTGTTCACTGTCTGATTCTGAGTGATCAATGTTTCTCGAAATGTTTGTTGTAAAAGAAAGTTCCAAGGCGTTGATTTGTTGCAATTCATCCTGTGTAAATTCAAATTCCTCCATAGCTAAGCCGATATCTAAGGACTCGTTCATTGTTAACGCAACCAAAGTTAAGTAAGTTAAGTAGCGAAAACAAATTTAGTAGGTAAGTAATAGAAAGAGTAACGCACAGGCAATCGTCGCAAGCGCGAGCGCACTAACACTAAACACTGTCGAAGTTTGTGGGGAATAGCGGGTGGCCGGCGGGGTGGGCGGCGCGGCGCACGGTAACGGAAAATGTCTATTCTGTATTTGTGCGCCATGGGGTGCACCGGTGACCTCAGTTATATATTTGGCTGTAACTATGTAACCCATGGGCAGAATTTAATAAAACTAATTTTCTATACATATATTATCATAATAAACAAATTACAGCAAAAAAGTTTTTTTACGATTTTCATTTTTTTCTATTGGCGTTTAACGTGTTAAAAATTCCATTGAAGATGCCCACTGCCATTTGCTGAATTCCATTGAAGATGCCCACTGCCATTTGCTGTAACGACTGTAAGATTTAAACGCACTTTGGCCTGTAGTGGTTTTTGTAGTTTTTAAATATTTACCATAAGTGTCCCGTAGATTTTTCCATTTCATTTTGGCTTCATCGCCTGTAAAAAATATAGTTTATTTATAATCTATTCAATTAGTTTTATTCATTAGTTATACTTAGACCAGTTTAAAACCCTGAATTTGTTTAGGTTAGGATCGAATCAACAGCGAAATATCGACTGAAAGGGGCAATGGATGGCGGGTCCACGCCCTTAGACCTTGAGTAAAAAAGCTTATTAAATATTATTTTTTTTGCAGATTTTTAGCAAGTGGAGATTCATTTCGCTGTATTGCAAACAGTTATAGAGTGGGTTGCTCAACTGTCGCAGAAATTGTTGATGATGTTTGTGATGTTATTTGGACTACATTACAACCCATATACATGAAGCCTCCTACAGAAGAAATGTGGAACTTAACATCTGAAGAGTTTTATAATATGTGGCAATTCCCCAATTGCCTCGGCAGTATTGATGGAAAACATGTCACTATCGTTTGTCCGCCTAATTCAGGCAGCAATTATTTTTGCTACCTCAAAAAATTTTCTGTCGTCCTTATGGCAATAGTAGGACCACACTACAATTTTTTATGTATCGATGTTGGAGGTTTTGGAAAAAATAGCGACGGTGGAATTTTCGAAAACTCTGTCACGGGAAGGAGGTTTAATAATGGGACTATGAATGTTCCAAGGCCTAAACTATTGCCAAGAACTAATGACGTCACACCTCATGTGTTAATAGGAGATGAGGCATTCCGATTGCAAGCACATGTAATGAAACCATTCAATCAAAGAGTTTCTAGGGTTGATAGAAGAAAGGAAGAATACAATAAGCGCCTATGCCGAGCTAGACGCGTTGTTGAAAATGCATTTGGATTACTGGCTCAAAAATGGCGAATATATTTCAAACCCATGCACCTAAAAGTGTCTTCAGCTAAAAAAGTGATAAAAGCAACATGCGTACTCCATAATTATTTACGCTCTAAAACTTGCAATACCCCGTACTTGCAAAATATGTATTTTACTACTCAACAAAATAATGCAATGAACAATGAATATCAAAATTTTGAAACTTTGCAACTTTCAGGTGATAGGGTACGTACACAATTTGTCAACTTCTTTAATGGCGGTAGTCGTATTTAGTACAGAATTGAAAGATAATATAATAATATAATAAAAGATAAAAACTTACCACTTATGTTACATTTTTCTCCTATCTCATCCCATATTTTATTTTTCATAAATATATTTTTATAATCCGTAAGTGACATATCATACAAAACTGGATTGCACTTCACCATCTCAATAAATGAACCGTTATTCGTTCGTTTCGATGACGCCATGTTGCAAACGCGTCCTTTCGCTAAGGAATATCGTGCGTAACTATTGTCATGTTAACCCCGCTTGCGGAGTGAGGGGCGGGATGCATGCCGCTGCTCCCGCGCAGTATGTACCTCTACCCACAGCGGCAGCGAATATCGCTCAGGTCGCTCTAGCCGCGGTACTTGATACCAAATCCTGAGCGAAACCCGCGCGGTATGTACCTCTACCCACAGCGGCAGCGAATATCGCTCAGGTCGCTCTAGCCGCGGTACTTGATACTAAATACCTGAGCGAAACCCGCGCGGTATGTACTGTGGGTAGAGACCCACAGTGGCAGCGAATATCGCTCAGGTTTGAATAGGCCTTAAGGCTGGTTTACCATACTTGCATACAATTGCCATAGAATCCTGATAATTTTGCATCATGTGCCGAGAACTTCCCACATAAGTTGATGGCAATATTATCATTATAGCCTTGACCCATTTCTCTATGATTATTGTACAGGCTATCCATTAAACTGTTATAATTGTCAGCTCTGAGCTCTTTTGATTCATTCGAAGAAACAATAATCGTTGAGATTCAATCCTAACATAGGCCAAGACACAATATTCATGAAAAAGTTTTTCGGCGTAAAATAATGGGCTAAAATTTTTACGAACAGCAAGTCTATACTGATAAAATTGTAACATTGTAAGACGGCTTCGAGCAGTTCGACTCTCTTCTCTGTGTTGAAGATTATCATGCCATCCTAGTTCTCCATTAGGAAAAAGTAGAGGAAAGGCTAAAGGGTCGATATTGGGACTGGTTGATTTGAGTGTAGTTAAATGTTGAGAATATTCTTGTACAGAGAAGTCTATATTTAATGGAAGTTCGCCGTTTTCTCCTACAAAGATGGCCGCTACCTCATTATTTGATGGTGTGTTATACCGACGCAAATCAAGAGATTTATGTTTATAAAACTGCACTGATACCGAATATTTGGGACGATTTTCTGACGCTGCTTTTAATTCCTCTTCAGCTAAAATTGCAGCCACCTTTTTGTATATTTTGATAAAAGGATTGAATTCATTGAGCATTGTTTGTAAGGACCTCATTATATTGCTTCTACACATGTTATTTCTAGAATCAGATAATCGGTCATTTAATGCTGCTTCATCTTCAATTATATACAAATGGTTGTATTGTGGTTTATGACCTTGCAACGGAACCAAAGATCCAGTTTTTATATAAATTTGCCCTTGTACCCTATAAGTGAAAAATCCTGGAGGGAGTGTGTTCAAGTTTGAATTTATGGATGCCATTGCAAATGCTGAATTATATTGTCGTATATTGGCCTTAAAATGATTAGCATCAGACGTATAGCCTTCGTATAAATCTAATAATATATCTGTAATTGGCTTTAATACTCTGTCTGGGTCTATGTATATCTTCCCATTATGACAACAATTTTTAAAATGATTTTTAATTTTTTCACCTAAAAAATGAAGTGCTTGACATTGAACACATTCATAAATCATAGAACCAACTGAATGTACTGATACTTGAATGGTGGGACATTTCACGTGAAGCGGACAGGGAAAAAAAAGTGAGGTTCTGAAAATCGACCACATTCGGCTCATTTGTACTTCTAGTAGGTATGAATGTGTACGCAAAATAATTTTTTTGTATAGTGTATATTTACCAAGTTATAGGTTTCAAAAGAATTGTCGTTGATAAAATGGCTTGTATAAATTACTGTGATAAAATAAAATAAACATAATAAAACAACATTGGTGCAACACAAGAACTGTTTATTTTGTAATTTTAACAATTTTACAATGGGATTCTATGGCAGAACTGGTCCTCTTTACAAGAAGGCCTGTGGTTGTTGGAAAATAGCTGTGAAACTTTTTGGTTCCTAAAATGGTGACAGTTGACGCAAACCAAAAAAAATCCAAAAAAATTATCTGACGCTCTATATCATCTTTAGAACAGAAATAAATGGCGGTTTGTTTTAAAGATGATTTTGCCCATTCATATAATCGCATTGGTGTTATAATTGCTTTAATTGGAGGTAACTGTAAACTTGCACGCGCAGCTAAACGTTTCAGATTCCCCTCTAGACCATCGCATGGCCCCTTTCCGTGAGATGTTGCATGAAAATGCAACTCTGCATCTGCATTAAAATCTTCTTTGTAATAAACAACAACAAATGCCAGGGACTCATAAGAGATTTCAGGTCTTATGTTATAACTAAAACGAAATCTAAAAGTATATACAATGTTCACTCAACTTGCTCCAAAGATTACAAGTACGGGGCGTGACTCCCTATGTCCGGTGTGGGTCATTTAACATGTCTCTTGAGCCATGCTAATCTATACTCCGACTTATCCGTAAACGGGGCGGTGTACTCCATCACATTCCAACGATCGGCTCTACCATAATTGAATATGGTGTTACGGGTGTTATGTCATGTATCTGGTACATTGGCGTACCCTCCAAACGCGTACATGCTGTACGCTCATGTCTCTCCGATTTGGTCTTTACGCACTCTGAATGATAAAATCAACGAGGCTAAGACTTGTCGTGCATCTACCTCAGCAGCCGTAACTACTTGGTTATTCCTACTCTCCGAGTAGAACACATTAGGCGACGTCTCCTGCACTACTGGTTCGACGTGTGTCCAACAAACCTGAGCTAAAGCTCCTTCTGCATTATTCTTTACTTGTGGAAGAATCTTAATCTTCTCTTCTGTCCTATTCAATGCTAATGAGACTTTCTCATAAAGGTCAGTGTTGTACTGAAAACGTGGAAACTTCGTGGGGAAAGCATCCTCCATAATGTTTGCACTCTCCAGGAATGCTACTTGGTCATTAGTCAAAGTGGCGGCTCGTGCCCAACCCAGACAATTTCTGGTGGGGGTACCTGCTCCTGCTTCGGCTGGCGCCAATGCTGCGGGCAAGTTCCATTCACGCACACCCTGTGCTGCAGTAACTCTCAGATCTTCTTGTATCCTCTGTTTACACACGAGAGGACTTGGCATTGCCATGTACTTCCAGTGTGTCTTATTTATTTATTTACTTTTCGTAGACAGGCATTCAAAAGCAATATGATGTGCATTGAAATCACCACTTACAAAAATAGGTTTTGGTAATCCTCTTATAATATTGTGCAATCTATTCATTCTTATATTCCTACCGGACGGAGGACAGTACACACAAAGAATAGAAATAGTAGTATTTTCTGTGTATATGCTTATGGCTATTGTCTGTATATCTTCATAAAAAGTGGTATTTATGACATTATGTTTCAAATATGGTTTAATTAATATTCCTACACCATTACGAGGATTTTTTGAATTTTTATTGTAGAAATTATAACCAGGAATATAAAAAGAATGATGTTCTTTTAACCATGTCTCATTTAGTAAGCAAATATCAATATTTTTTTCATTTAAGAATTTTGTAAGATGTTTTTTATGATTTGCACCTTGAACATTGAATTGCGCAATACGTATAGAGTGTGTTGTATATGGTTGTGTATCCATTATGTTGATTTATAAATGTTGCAGTGATAGGTTCATTATCAATCTTATTACCTATTTGAACCAGTGTTTGTACGAGGGCCATAAGTACATCACTGTTTTCAATTATTTGTAATTTTATATCATTAATACTTACAGCCTGTGAGACAGGCTTAATATTTACAGATTTATTTACATGTTTTACATTAGGTGTTGCGACATTGCGCAATGTATACATCAGGCGCATTTTTTGCATTATAATAATTGTAAGGTGGGGCGACGTGCGCCATCACTTCTCTTTGTACTTGACTAGCGAAAGGTCATATTATAATGAAATTAAACAAGTTTGTACAAGAAGTCTTAAAGAGTTTCATTTACCGGCCCAGTCATTCCCTAAAGAATGAACATGGTGGCCCATGAGGGGATCAAAGAAGAAATAGAAGATTAATCAAGAATATCAATCAAGAAATAATCAATCGAGCAGTAGTACAGCTAAAGTGCCACATCGAGAGATTTAACCAAAAGTTAAGTGTTCCTTGTCCTTTTCTTTTTGTGTTCCAAACTGTGTCCTTAATTCAATTAATTGTGCAAATAAGTATTTTATTGATAATCCTTTTTAAAGTAGTGAGATTAAGTAATTGGTTAAAAATTTAATTTTTCATAGCACGTAGGTACCTACATCTACGGACGGACCTACATTTAGGAAAAAATTAGTGATTATTTTATTGTTGTTTCATCTTTTGATTTCGTTATGTAACATTTAATTAGATACCAAAGACACGGAGATATACAATATTATTTTTATATTTTATTTATATATGTATATATTTTTTTGTATTTCGTCTTAGACTTCGTAAACACTAATTAGGTATTTAATTGCTCTCTAGCTAATTCCGTGTTTAGGTAGCTACATTCAAGCGCATTTGCCGATTTTTTCAGATTTTTTTTTTGTCGCGTCGACGCGGCAGTTGCGTTGCACCGGCCGGGAGCCGTGAGTAAGCAACTAAAGCATTGCGTGACAGGTACCACCGAATGAGGAGAGTGAGCCAATTTTGTTTAATTTAAACATTTTAAGTGTTTGTTATTATTTTGATTCTAGTTTATCATGTCTATAGAAACAAAGTTAAGATTAAAAGAATTAATTATAAAAAGGTCGTCTGCTAAGGGACAGATAACAAAATTTAAAAATTATTTAACTGGTATAAATGATAAGCTGGAATTAAATAATATAGAGTTTACCGAGTTAAAATTAAAATTAGCTAAATTTGAAGCTTTGTCGGTTAGGGTTGACGATTTGCAAGGTGAAATAGAAGTTTTAAGTCCTGAAAACATTTCAACCGAAATTGATGAGCGTGATAATATCGAACAGGATATTATAATAAGCATTGCAACCGCCAAAACTTTAGTTGAAAGGTTTTCAAAGGTATTTGAGTGTGAGCATAAGCGAAATTCAATGCACAACGTTTCATGTTGCGTTGATGAATCTAATTCTTGTACTGACCTGGGATTAAAATTGCCACAGATACAAATTAATAAATTTGACGGTGCATATTTCCGTTGGCTAGAATTTAAAGACACATTTGAGAATTTAATTCACAATAATGACCGTATACCACCAATTAATAAATTTCATTACTTAATTTCTTATTTACAAGGTGACGCGGCTAGGGTTATTTCTAACTTCGAGGTGTCTGCTAACAATTATGTCAGCGCATGGGATTTATTGTGTAGCCGCTATAATAATAAACGTATTCTTATTAATCATCACTTAAATTCAATATTTAATATTAAGCAGCTTCCTCGAGAATCAGAGCGTGCTTTGCGATTTCTGGTAGATCAAGTAACAAAGGATTTGCGTGCCTTGGCAAGTTTAGGGCAACCTACGCATACATGGGATACATTAATAGTGTTTATGTTATCTTCAAAATTGGATAACAACACTTTATTGAAATGGGAAGAGGTTCGCAGTAGCTTAGATGGTGATGTACCCAATCTGGAACAATTTTATAAATTTTTAATAGATCGTGCTGATATATTAGAATCTTTAAATCGAAATAACAAGTCAGATATCAATGTTTCTAAACCTCATGTTCAAGTGCGTTCTACCTATAATAATAATTATAACACTAGTAATCAATTTCTAAAACAAGGACAGGGACAAGGAAATCAAATAAAAACATTTCTAAGTTATAAAAATAATAAAAATAAACAATTAAATACAAAATTTTCATGTATAATTTGTGATAAGAATCATAAAATATATGATTGTCCTACCTTAAAGGACAAAGGTTTAGATGAGCGAATGCAAGACGTAGTGAAATATAAACTATGCCAGATTTGTCTAAGGCAAGGTCATTCCGTAAATGATTGTCGTATGGGACCTTGTCGCGTGGCTAGATGTACGGAAAAGCACAACAGTATGCTGCATTGCTCATCCAACCCATCTACATTAAGCTCTAATTCTAGAGACAGCGATCAAACAAATATTTTTGTGAATTATGCTAACGAAGACACATGTCACGTACTGTTGTCTACTGCTTTTATTGAGGTGTCGGATCCACTTGGTCAGCAAAAGATCAAGGTTCGCGCGCTTCTAGATTGTGGAAGTCAAGCTTCTTTTATAACGAAATCTTTACAGAACAGATTGTCATTAAAGCCTAATCAAGTTGACACTCTAAAGGTCATCGGCATTGGCAACTGTTCAAGTAGTGTTACTGAAACTTGTAATATTCAAATAAATTCATTAAACAGTAATTACAGTTCAATGTTGTCTTGCTACGTTTTAAAAGAATTAACAGG